GATGGTTGGCTTTTCATTGTGTTTATATCTATTTTCCCAGTTTTATAAAGTCAGTAAGAATAACTTTTTCTAAATTCAGTAAGAATTATCTTTTCACTTAGCAACCATGAAGAGTTGTTACAAATAAAGTATCACTAATTTTTTCCCATTATTTACATTTTCAATCAATACTTAGAACAATTATTCTCACGTGATGGCCTTTGACACTGTTTGATGTTGTTGAAAATGTACATATCTTTTGATTCAGCAGTTTCACTTACAGAAATTTATCTGCCAAAGCATATGCACATATCTGTCTAAACACAGATATACAAGAATATATATTGTGTATAGATGTATATTCTGAAGTATTTTTTGATGGGAACACTAAAACAATGTCTGCTGTTAGGAGATGGTTAAATAAATGGTGATACATGACTTTAGAGAAACACTATTCAGGAATTAACAAAGAATGAGGTAGGTCTATACATGCTGATGGACTGTATGCCTTTGATTAAATATCTTTGGTTCAAGCAGCAAAAATCAATTCTGGAGTACTGGAGCAAAAATGAAATGAAGTGGAGCCACAGGAGTTGGTCCACAGAATAGCCAGGAGGCCGGACAGCAGAAAAGACACTGGCAACCCCAGAGCACTCAGCACCTCAGGTACCACTCCATCATCTTCTCTGGATGTTGGCAGTGCCCTTCTGATGTTGTTTTAATCCTTGAGTCACTCCTGTTGAGATTCGCTCTAAAGAGAGAAAGAGAGCGTGGGCTGCATACCTCATCCTTGGCTACCAGAGGACAAAGGATTTAATTGACATTCCCACGAGGACTGTGCACAGTGAGAAAGAGGTGATTCCCCCGAATAAGATCAGCATGCTGTTTGGAAGGGAGAAAGAATACTGTTCAGTAAGTAAAAAAAAAAAAAAAAAGTGTCCTGTATAAACTGCTACAGGAATAAAACAAAATAAAACAAAATGTAAAACATAGTAAATCACCATACATATTTTTTAAAAAGAGAGAAAGAATATGTATCACAAGTAACATATAGAAGGCATTCCTAAAAACAAACAATGAACAAAAAGAAAACCCCGCTAGAAATGGCACAACATCCTTATCTCCCATTAGGCCCTCAGCTCCACGGGAAAGAAGTGTGTCTGTCCCAGGCTGTATTTTCAATGGCAAACACAATAAACAGTTGCAGAGTGAGTGCAAGAATGTAGTTCTAAGGAAGAGAACAGGGGACCCGAGGGAAGAGACTTACTTTTCACATATTAATTTTTAAAATCAAGTGCCCGTCGTCCTTTTACAATTAAACAAGAGGGTAAAGAGAATCCGTAATCGTAATACACACTTTTTTTAAATATGAAAATGTCTTCCCCTAGGAAGTTTGGGAATCGCTGTTATAAACAATCAGCCTCACCCGCTGTCCCTGGACCATCTCATTGTTTCCGCGCCCAGAGAGTGGAGCAGAAAAGGCTGCATTGTCCAGTGGAACCGCCCAGCTTCAGCAGGGGAAGCGCCCCCACTGCACCGCACACAGTGCAACTCAGCTACTCCGGGGCCCCGGGAAAGAATGACTGTGGAGAGATAAATAGTCAAGGCTGATTTGGTCATCACGCTGGGGCTCCAGCTCTTTAGAAGTCTGCACGGATAGCAAAAACATTGCTGAGTGTTTAAACGATTTGAATGATATTCGTAGGGAGACCCTGAAAAGAGGAAAACAATGGCTTGATGACAGCAAGCTGACAATGGAAGAGAATTTTGTGGGCTGAGATGATTGTGGAAGCAAACAATGGTGATATTGTCCTTCTGGTGTTATTGTGGGACGCTGTAATTTATGGATGAAGTGGGATTTCAAACAAGATAAACAGACTTGAATTTGTTAACTAATACAGTAAGCAGAGAACATTCTGTTATATGAGGAGAGAAATGGGGATGTTTTATATACCCCTGCTATTTGCTAAACAGAAATATGTTTGTATTTGGGATAAAGTCTTGCTTTCCATTGTTTTTGCTAGCTTTTTGAGAATATCCTTTTTCATGTAATCTTGAAAACAGAAAAACCTGGGTGAAAGAGAACATTGTCAATATATGTCACTAGACAATTATTTTTATAGTTCTAGAAGTTAGGGTGTGAAAGTGTCAACTAATTTACTCTTTTCTTTGCAGATGTGATGCCTGTCTACTCACAGATACTGAGAGGAGGTGATGGCAATCACAACGATAACTATCTCTATCACAAGCAGTTTATAACGTCGTGTTGAACAATTTAGTTTTCGATTACACATAGAAAAGAGGGACCACTTCTCTCTAAACTATAAAAACCAGGTTTATACCTTGGTAAGCATGGTTAGTGATAAATTACTACTATGTATGGAATTACTGGATTAACATTTTTAAACTGGACAGAGGGCAAATTATGTATCTTACATCTCAATCCTGGAAATAGCGTCTGGCAGGCAGTAAAGAGTGGAGTTCTGTTGAATGAGTAAAAATTTGATTCTTCTATGGGCAAGGGAGTCTAAGTTGGGGATACATCTGTCAAAGACAAAACTTAGGCTGAGACAAAAGCATCCAAGACTATTCATAATCTTGCAAGGGGAACTATCAGCAGGGATTTTAGGGTGTGAGAAAGGAGACGGCATTTGATACAGTGAGAAAAGAAAGGCTCAGACAGCCTCTGAGTGGCAATAGTTCTTTTAAGGTGGGATTTTGGAAGCCAGGATGACTTTCTACAGGTACATTTGGCAGTCCTTGGCTAGCTGTCATGGGGCAAGCAAGCAATTTGGGCATGCTCTTAAAACAGGTACTAGTGGCGGAGGGTTTTCTGTAGCCAGTCATTTCCTAGAACATGTGGTATTCAAAGAGGTGCACTGTTTACAGTCAGATTATCCTGATGGCACTTTATAAGAAGATGCCTACAACCTAGGTCCACTCTCTCTTACAGAAACAAACTCTATCTCTAAATTGGCAAAACAAAATAAAATTGAAAGAAGCTAAACAAAAAGCACCCACCTCCTAGAAAATCTAAAAATAAATAAATAAAATGTCAAGTTCAAAACTGAAAAATACCACTAACACTCCCCAGTCCTAACTGTAGTAAAAATACGAGTGGTAACACTTCACCTGCTTTGGAGAACTCACCTGATGTAAGCAAACTTGCATTTTCATTCCAGCTTTGTTTGGTTACAGATGTAGTCTTAGGACAAAGGTAAACAAATCCAACGTTTTACTGAAATTTGGATTATATCGGTGAAACACTTTCCTGAAGGCTGTAGCACCTGCTTTCTATAGGTGTTATCATGTTGATTGTGCAAAACAGCCACCTTAAAAACAAAAAAAAGCTTGCAAATGTTATTTAGAAGTTAACCGTGAGGATTCACAACCTTTCAGATGGCTGTGTCTTTATTTATTAATTTATGAAGCTGCCAAGGGACGGGTGTGGGACAGGGGCAGTATTAGTGACCATGGGAAATTTTAAGAAGTTAAATAGACCTCTGGCTTGGTGCCCAGAAAAAAAAAAAAAGTCAGTCCCTGCGCAGAAAACCAGGCAAAAGATAAAAAAGATTCCATTATGTCTATAATACAATCTTCTTATGGCTTTAGTACAAGTTTCTTCTCTGCTAACAGAAGTCCCTGCAGAAGGTTTAAACAATCCCTACAATTTCATTATGTGAGTGTAGCTAAATCCAATAAAGAAAAAGGCCCTGCAGAGCCGTCCCATATGCTCAATTCCAGACCCTCTCCTTCTCGGGGAAGTCAGAGAACTTGGCTGGCTGGAAACAGATTCTATTCAGACTGCCTGGAGCACAAATCTTGCTTTGTTGACATCAATGCGAGCTCTCCTGAGGACACACAAAGAAGAGAAGAAGCTATTAGAATTTCTCGTGACCCTGCTCCGGGCCAAATCCAGCTTTGCTTAAATGAATGAAAATGCTTGTTACATGGCCCAAGAAGCTACTTTGTCCGTTTGAAAATTAATTAGACCGTAGCTAGATGAACAACCAGAAGATGCTTTCACAACGTTTGTAGATGGATGACCTTGGCTGAGTTCCCAATTTTAACAAGTTTACCCTAAAGCAAAAACATGGCCTTTTGGCTGAGCTAATGCCTACAATTATGATGCTTTCCTGAGTGGTAGCCAACTGTTCGGCACAATCCCACCAGAAAAGGAAGTTAAGAAGAGAGGAGTTAAAACGTTTACATGAAAGTGTAATAGAAGAGGTTCTCGAAGGAAATTTTTTGTCTCAAGTAGCCAATTTAGTTACCCATTTCACAGCTGGACTGGGAGAAAATGTTAACATCTTTTTTAAAAGTATTTCTTTTTTTTTTAACTAATTCTCTGTTTTATTTTGGGGGGGATAACAATTAGGCTTATTTTTATTATTTATTTATTTATTTGTTTGTTTACTCATTTATTTCAGTGGAGGTACTGGGGATTGAAACCAGGACCACATGCATGCTAAGCACACACTCTACCACTGAGCTAAACCCTCCCCCCTTTAAAATCTTATATGTCATGATACACTCTTGATCAAGACTCTGAGAGGACGCAGATTCTGTTCTTCCTTGTAGCGCTTTAAGTGTAGAGGGACCAGAGTTGGCAGGTTGGCAGGAAGCATAAAACACTGATCCATATGTAAATCTGTTTTTCAAGTGTCAAGTTGAAGGTGTCAGGGAAGAGAGGGGGGAGGGTATACCTCAGTGGTAGAGCGTGTGCTTAGCATGTGTGCTTAGCTGGGTTCAATCCCCAGCACTTCCATTAAAAAAAAAGATTTTCATGGATGAATATGGATCACCTTTGCGTGTAAGATTCTGAGGCACTTCAGTCACAAAGAGAAGAATAGCTACTTTAAAAAGTAATCTGCAAATTGCTACATTGAGGAAGGTCCTTTAAATATATTAGGGATGAGACTATACCTGATGCTTAACTATCTTGTAACATGAAGTTGAGGGCAGAGGTAAGAGGAATTGGACACATTGTGTGGAAATAAAATTCCCCAGTGTTCACAGCAGCACTATTTACAATAGCCAAGACATGGAAGCAACCCAAGTGCCCATAAATGTAATTGGATTAAGAAGATATCGTGTGTATATATATATAGAATGGAATATTACTCAGCCATAAAAATAAAACATTGCCACTTGAAGCAACATGGATGGACCTAGAGAATATTATGCTTAGTGAAATAAGTCAGACAGAGAAAGACAAATACTATATGATATCACTTGTATGTGAAATCTAAAAAATAATACAAACAGGGGGTGAGGGTATAGCTCAGTGGTAGGGCACATTTAGCATGCACGAGGCCCTGGTTTCAATCCCCAGTATTACCATTAAAAAATAAATAAATAAATGAAACTAGTTACCCCCCAGAAAACAAACAAAAATAAATAAAAATTAAAAAAATACAAATGAATGTATATGCAAAAGAGAAATAGACTCACAGATAGAGAAAACAAACTTGTGGTTACCAAATTAGGGGTATGGGATTAACAGATATAAACAATTATAATAAAATAGATAAGAAAGAAAGATATAACATAAGGCACAGGGAATTATTCCCATTATTTTGTAATAACCTATAATGGAATATAATCTGCAAAAATACTGAATCACTATTCTGTACAGCTGAAACTTACACAATATTATAAATCAACTATACTTCAACCAAAAGTAGAAAAATTTTGAAAAGTTTCCCCAAACCACCACTTCCTTATTTAAAAAAAAAGTCTTGAAAGTTGAATCTGACCCAGTAACAGCTGACAGGGGCAAGGATAGACACCTGACCTTGATGGAGCCAGTTCATTGGCTGACACTGACCAATGACATCCTTCTCTGTCTTCGTGGGGCTCTCTCCATCTCTTCTGCACATGCTTTCTCTTTCTGGGGTAGACAATGGAGCATCTTTAGGCATAAAGATGACTAAAGAGAGACATGAGTTGGCCTGGGTGGAGGAGATTACTGCAGGTATTGAGGGAAGGACACAAACAAGAGGTCATGCCACCTTTAGCCTCTTAATTATAAAAACCTAAGAAGAAAAACCATGGAAGAGGCCACTAAGAACCCATAAGGAATCTTTCCTTTTGTCCACCTCCCACAAGGAATTTATACAGTTTAAGTGCAGAGACATACATGTACTTTCTGCATTCTCCTAATGTAGTGAATTGTTTTAGGACAGCCCTTCCTGCCTCGCCTAACTCCAGGTCTCTTCTATGTCTTATGTGACTTAATAGTTATCAAACATCATCCCTCCGCACACTCCTCCCGAAAGGAAGTTACGTAGGTCTGGGCTCTGGGAAATCTAATATGGTCAAAAATCTTCTGGTGTTGCAGTTCCAGGGATGCTAGAGGTGGGTGACTCTGGTAAAGAAGAATATTAAATACCTCCTCTTAATGCTGCACACGGAGGAAAGGACGTGTGCTGATCTATAGAAAAATCTGGTTCAACAGGTAATGCATTGAATAGAGTTAGAGAAGTCACATTATTTCCTCCTGTGGAAGTCACTTGACTCCTCCAGGATGAAACATTTCCCAGGTTCCATGACAGGAGTGGAACTCACAGGAGGTCTCCTCTGCTAGCAAGGAGAGCAACTCGGTTTGCTTAGGAAAGGCTGGCAACTCTGGATTTGCCAAGATGCCCCTCTGTCATTTCAATGAATTTTCCTTGATAGGCTCGCTTATGTCAGATTTTGTCCCCACGTTTTTTGCCCAGAGTTTGAGTGTTTTCACCCTCTGCCCAAACAACCAAAAGTAGCACAGAATATCCAACACAAATGTTTAGAACTGGAGATGGTTTCAAGTCCCTAGGTTCTGTAGTTTCTCTGCCATTTAGTGTTTTCTCTTTCCTCTTCTACTTTTCTCCCCCAATTGATGTTTCTGAAAAATCAGATCCGTAAGGCCAAATATGTCCTAAATGAATGTTTCTCATAAGAAATGATTATGGAAACATTACCACAATTTC